AAGTATTAAATAATTACATGTTTAAATATACCATATACATGCTTCGTTGTATGCATTAATAAAAATACAAAGATACTTTGTTCATTTTCACAGGTACTATGTATCACTGTGCTTGTAGACAAATGGATAAGGGAAAGCGTTGTAAGAGGATGTTCACTTTGGATTGTTCTTGTTGGACATGCAACATTTCTCTATGTTACACGACCTACTATTGCAAATTCACGTTTTCCATTTCACATTAGAACATGCCAAGTAGTTCCGATTAGTGGTAATGGACAAAATCATAGTTACGAGCCTCGATTCAAAAAAGTAGTTTCAGCGTTTACAATCTCATGATTGTTATTATATCTCTTCCTTTTACTTTTAAAAATAATATGTAAAAATGAATATATATATATATATATGATAGAAATACTGATTTTGATTAGGTGTAAATAATATAACGTTATTATTATTATAATTATTATTATGCTTTTAGAATGTTTTCTATCTTAGATTTGTATCCAGCATGCATAAGTATACTTAAAATTATAATTATTTACTTAAATGCCGCTTTCATTAAATGATACATCATATTTAAATTCATACAAGAGAAACATTTGTTATAATCATGAAAATATCTTCGATGTTTTTTCTGTATCATATCTACTAATTATCTTAGTAGATTTATGTTTGTGTGTGTGTGTGTGTGTGTGTATTTATAACTTGAAGAGATAAAACTATTATTCATTTCAACAGACAAAATAGTTTTGATGTTTCTCAATGAAAATTCAATCGCATGAACCATCCAGCCACCCGTCTTTCCATCTTTGGTTGACCAACTTGCAATCAAATTCCGGTTTACCTAATTTTTTGTTTACCTCGTTATGAACAACGCATAGCCATTGACTGAAGACTTTTTGTGAATCGGTTTGCGGTGGTGTATCTTTCAATTGTTCTTGAAAATCTTCTGCACAAATGTGACAAGGATAAAACTTTGAAAATAAATACATGAATCTTTTCATATCACTTTTTTGTTCGTCGCTTGGATTATCAGGATAACGTGCTGCCATGGTGTGTAAAAATGCCCATGTTTTGGAACCTAAATCGTCTCTGCTTAATGGACAATCATTGCGTTGAACTGTAGGAACATTTGTAGTAGGATTGGTTGTTTCTTGCTTTTGAGCATCACCCTAAAATAAAAGAAAAGAAGAAATGTTAAATAAAATATATACAAGTTTATTTCTATATCTTGAAAAGATGTATTTTTGTTGTTTTTTGTATTAAACATACCTTTCCTGAATCAAAAGTTTTCTGTTGTAATTTCACCCACGTTTTAAAATCGGTGCACGTTCGACAAGGCTTCTCCATTTTAACATATTTATTATAACAATATTTAACGTTACAATAATTTATAGGAACATTTATTCATAATATGATATTCAACATAACCTTTCATTATCGATAATCACAAAAATCATTATTTTCACTAACACGATATTTATTATTCGATTAATTTCATTCTAATTATTGTTAATAACAATTTGAATTATTTATTATATTATTCTTAATATTATTTTATAAATAACATCGAGAAAATACATTTAATTATTTGCGTTGATCATTCACGATCAGACAGTTTTCTTACGCAATAGTAATAAAGATAAAGTAACAAGCATTCAATTTTTCGCGCCAATATAAATCGAAGATTATTCTGATTGGTCGTTGTTAGTCGATTTGGAACAATATCTCGAATTTATTTCATAGTCAAAACAAAACTATGTTAAACGTTAAAGTGAAATCATATTTATGTATTAAATAACATTCTTTTGATAAATAATTTATATTTCTTGTATACATATATAAATATGTATATATATAAAGATAAAGTAACAAGCATTCAATTTTTCGCGCCAATACAAATCGAAGATTATTCTGATTGGTCGTTGTTAGTCGATTTGGAACAATATCTCGAATTTATTTCATAGTCAAAACAAAACTGTGTTAAATGTTAAAGTGAAATTATATTTATGTATTAAATAACATACTTTTGATAAATAATTTATATTTCTTGTATATATATATACATGTATATATATTTATTTATAAAAAATTTGATTGCACATTTAAAAAAAATATGAAAATAAAATATAAATGCGCGTGCGTTGCGGCGAGTTGTAAAATAGTAAGGAACCCAACCTTATCTGATAAAATCGTGACAGACGTCAAGTGCGATTCTGTTTCGTACTTGATCAGTTAGAAACTCGAATGATTCGTTTGTTTGGAAAAGGAAATACAAAAGAGACAATGGCTGGACGTAAAAAAGCTGATAGATCGTCTAGATCGGTATCTAAAAATACAAGACAACATAATTCAGATGCAATGTTTCCATCATTATCATCATCCGACGAAGACGATCAGCTGTCTGGAAGACGCGACAGAACCATAACTCAGGATCACCCAAGTAGAAATCGCATTGTTGAAAATGATCAACAGACAGGTTAGATTTATATACATTTCAAATAAGATAATAATATATATATACATAATATAAATATCAATCTTATTGAATTATCTTTTATCTTATTATTTTATTTATTACAGGTCAAGATGTTTCACGTCGTGAAGAAAATCCATTTAGTTTTAAACACTTTTTAAAAGGTGAAAGTCAAACTAATTATTACAAGACCGGTGCAAGGCCAAAGATTTATTCATCATCTGCTACGAGTCCTAACAATGTTGAAAAAGACACCGGTGGTGTATATTCTAGAAATCCAACTGAACTACCTGATTTTGTACAAGATCATTTAGTCATAGAACAATGCTACTTAAATCATGTATTTGCTCAACCAACTATACCTGAAGTTGATAATCTACCTGATTTTGCATTGAACAGTGTAGAACAAAGGCAACCACGGCAAAGAAATGATTCGAAAAAGACACAACCACAATTATTGCCAGATATTCCTTTTGATCTTACTGGTTCGATAGACAAAGCTATATCTCATAATGATTATTTTCTTTCTAATGCTACCTGTTCGAATAGCATCAATATACCTGTATTCAACGCTGTTGATAACATTGTTGAGACATCTGAGTCAGCATCAGACTCTGGTGGTAAGTTTTATGATTTTTGTGTTCATTCATCAAAGACAATTTTCATATACCATACTTTCATTGTAACAAATTCATTTGTTATTGTTTTAAACAGAACCAGAAGTTAGTAATAATGTTGTTACTAGAGATTGCACGCCTACAACTGATTCAAACTTACCAAAATTATTACCAGATTTTTTAAATGATGGCCCAATTCATAGTAGAACGAATCTTTCCAATGATATTGGATCTAATTCGCAACCTAATATGGTAGAATCAACAGAACGAAGGGTATATATATATATATATATTATCAAATAAAAATTATTCAAATTTAATAAATATATATAATTAATACAAAGTATTTGGTAGCTTTTATTAGAAAATGATAGGCTAAGGCAAGAATTGGACTCGGCTCATAGAAAAATTAATGAAAAATCAATTAGGTAAGTTATTATCATTTTAAATCTTCATAATCATTTATATTTATTAACGTCAAAGTGTATTATTACAGAATTGTAATGTTAGAAGCAGAATTGGCTTCTAGAAAAGAAGTGGATTACGAAGAAACTGCACATCTTGAAAAAGCGGTGGAACAAGTTGAAGATAATTTAAAACGTAGTACGGTAAATAATAATTTCAATGATATTTCATTGTAATTGTATTAAATTATTATTTTTAAAAAAATAGAATAAGACATTATCTATTTTATTTTTTGTTTTTTTTTTTTTTTACAGAAAAGAGCGCTTAGCGCAGAAAATACAGTAACATCGTTAAAAAAAGAAATTAGGACATTAACGGTTAGTATAAATATAAAATCTTCATTCTTTTACATAAGAATTTGATTGATCAACAAATTATAACTCTAATTTAGTCAGAGCTATCGTCATTACGATTGGAAAATAAGAAACTTAGATCTGCCATTAATGATAACAAAAAGAACGAATGTGATGAATCTTCTGAGAACATAGATAGAACTGTACGAAGACTTGCAGGTGAATTAAGGACTGCTGCATCAACGGCTGAAATCTCATTGAGGTAATAATTTGTTTTAACGTTGAATGAAAAAAAAAAAAAAAAAGAAAAAGAAAAGAAAGGGGTAATAAAATTTACACGTATAATAACAGCGTGTAATTTTGTTTTATATTCTAAACGTATGTGTTGTGTTTTAACACAGACAATTGATGTCTGGAGTGGAGAATCTAAGGGTACTTGCATCTACCCTTGAAAATGTGGACAGAATAGAAGAAGAAGATACGACCACCAAAGATTTCATGAACGATTCGGATGATGATTATAATGCTGCTGATCCTCGATCTTAAAAAAAGAGATCTTATTTAAATCGTATTAACTTTATCATAATACAAATCTATCATACCTCTCTTTTTTATATTCACCACACAACCAACGCTAAGTTCCTCATGCTCTATCGCAATAATAGTGGCGAGCATATACATTTGCGTCGATTGATAATTTAGAATCAAATTGTGTAATATGTTATTTATGACGTGTTTGTTGTACTTTTATATTAGTTAAGAATAGATTCTAAAAAATGCATTTAAAATTTCGACACATAAAACGAACGAATGAACGAACGAACAGCAGAGGTACATGGGGGACGTACGACGAGAGAGAGAGAGAGAGACAAGTAAAATGTTTTGTTTATCTTTAAATAATTGAGATAACTCTGTTGATATATTAACTACAGTTAAGTAATCGCCAATTAGGCGTTAATTAAGGGATATAAACAAACAGGTGTTATATTTTTCATATACATATTTTTGAGTACGACCAAAATGACAGTGTAAGTACGTACCTCTTATCATCATATTGATAACGCATAATTAACGTTGATTATTCGTGCAACGCAATTTTTAATGATAATCGTTTTAATAAATACACGCTGATCCAACGAGGATTTCAGTAATTAATTTATTATAATATCGCGCCAAAATGTTAGCTAATTACAGCATCATAATATTCATTATGTGCAATTGCTTTGAATTTATAATTCAAAAAAAAAAAAACTACTGGAATTCTAAAAACGATATGCGTGTGTGTGTATTGCACCTCTGCAGCTTTGTAATTTTGCAAGATCATATTTTTTTTTTTTTATGTGTATGTTTCTTTTTTTACACTAAAGGCAGATCATTTTATTTTGACAATAAAAAAAAGAAAATGAAAAAAAACAAAAACAGAAAGAAGAAGAAGAAGAAACAAAGTGCATATAAAAAAATATACAAATTTGGATACCAATAAAAAGAATGATATCTCTTAAGTCAAATTATTATCACATATATATGTATAGATATATATATATATGGCAGTGTTCGTTGTATAAAAATGCTTATCAATTATCACATAAAGTTTTGAAAAAAAAAAAAAATAATAATTAACGATAATCCAAGAAAAAATGAAGTTAGGCAAGAGTTCTTTTTTTTTGTTTTGTTTACAAATAAAACGTAAGTATTGGCATATGTAAGTATTTTACGAATTCATTCTTAAGACTGATTTTAACATATAATATATTTTTTCTATTACTGAAGACCTTCAAATATGCTAAACAGATCAGTTTGAGTTTCAGTATGACTCATTTGTGCATTTAACCATGAACGACAAGCAGCACCCATTGAAATATTGCAACCAGTTTCACAAATTAACGATTTAGTTTGAGTTTCGGCAGAAACTGTTGTATCGTCCAATTGTGTCCAAGCAGTTTGAGTTTGAATATTGGTTAATACTAAATCAGGCGATATCATTTCATCCGTTGTTTGTGTGTAAGTATTATTGTAAAACAATTGTTCCATATTATCAAAATTATCCGTTGTTTGAGTTTCAATGGTAGAACTCAAAGCAAATGTTCTGGATAATGCATCGGAGTCAAAAAATGTTTGTGAATATCCTTGTTCCGTTTGTGTTTCTATACTACTGAATTTGTCATGAAAAGTTTTTTCTGTTAACATCGGATCTGACCTAGATATATTATTAGTCGAAGAAAATGGATATTCTTCGTTATTAACAACAGTTGAATCTTCTGTATAAGGTAACGTCATTAATGCTACGGTACTTTTAGGTAAACACTGTATCAATGAACTGTTACTATGACTGTAAAATGTTTCTAAATCTGTTTGAGAAACATTGTCATGCAATGCCTCAAACATATCCTTTTTAGATATTGTTTGTGTACCAGAATTATTTTTCTCTTCCCAAAAGTCTTGTAAACCTACGTCGTGTCTTAACGTCAATGGACTAGCAGGAAATAGATTGGAGGATGTAAAATTATCTTCTAAATTGATATCTTCTTTTAACAACGATGATTCTGACTTTTTTACTATCGAATTACTCTTCCTACGTTTTCTAACTTTAAATGGTTCCTTTCCGATAAATTTAGTATTCGGAGTTTGAGTCTCCATTGATGTAACACCATGCTTTTCACCTTGTAATCCAATTGTTTGCGTTTGTCTAGATACTCTTCGTTTTCCAGTGGTTCCATTACCATTGGAGACTTGTTTCAATGGACTCGATGCTCTTCTATACTTTTTACAGTCATCAGTTTGTACACCAATATCGACGGTAGTTTTTTCAGTAACATTAACATTACAATTATTTGCTTCGTTATTATTATGACTTGGTAAAATATTAACCGGTTTGTTTATCGTAGATACAACGGTAGGAGATAAAGGAATAGCACGAGTGATCTTTGAGTTAGTCCGCCTGAAAATAAGTATTGTGTTATAATGATTGTAAATAATATATATCTATACATCAACTTACAAATGAACAAACTTACCTTAAAGAACTTTTATATTTATTATCTATAGTATGCAATGATCTTTTAGCATGAGTAAGGAGTGCCTCATAAGTGCTATAAGTCTTGGAACAATAACAAGAAAATTCAATACCACATATCCTCATGTGTCCTTCCTTAGCAGCTTCGGTGGAAAAACTTTTAGCACAACTTGTACAAGCGAATGTTTTTTCAGCGTGTACTTTCAAATAATGCTGTATATCAAAATAGAATCAAATAATTTGATTAGATTACATTAATAATTTATTTAATAAGATTATAACAAACCTGTTTGAGATATTTCATCGTAGTAAAGTATCTTTCTGAATCTGGTGCATAAACACAAGTTTCTACCGGGCAATGATAACGAACATTTTCCTTTGTTATTTTTCCTAATTTTTTTCTTTGATGTACCTTTAAATCGTGCAAACGATATCGTGGCTCGTTTCGAAACAATAAACCACATTGTTCGCAACATATGCTATTTTTAATAACACTCAATTCCTCTGCCGATGGGCAGACCATTTCACAGTAAGTTGTCGTTGATCGATTCTTCGAAAATACTTGCGTTTTCTCCATTGAAGGTTATCCTCATCTCTCCTATGTTAGGAAAGTTGATAGAAAGAGATGGGAGATCGATGGATGGTTATGTAAAAGAACAAGAAAGAGAGAGAAAGAGGAGACAAATGTAAGGTTATGTTAAAGAAAGAGAGAGATAAAGAATCTAATAACACAATTCGCAATCTGTCAAATTCGCGCCGGTATGTTCGTTTGAAGAATAATTGATTAATGTCTTTTAATGATTATCAAAGATTATCAATCATTTTCTCTGTTTATTCTTAACCATCTCTTTTTATCTGTCACTGCATATGTATCTATATATATTATATATTTTATATATGTATATATTTTTATATATATATATGTGTATTCATAACGCCGGGCTCATTTCATCGATCAAACTATTCCCCCATCTTTTTTCTTCTACCACATATACACAATTTTTCTTTGATAATTATTTTTCAATAAAATATGTTATATATTATGTTTATAATGATAAACACGTATTAATATTATAAATCAAAATATATACACAGAGAGACATACCTTTTTCGAACATCGAGTGACATGTGCAGAGAACAAATGAACAAGCTTGATCAATATGAAACACCCTGCTCTATACCTTTTTATTTTTATAACAGATATATTTGAACGACACGTTGTGACGTTTACGTTGATATAATATCGTATTAAAAATACAGTCTTTTTTCATTTGTTTTTTTTTTCTTTAAATTTTATTTTAAAAAAATAACAAGAATTATATAATATTTCATTTATCAAGAGAGTAAGAGAGAGAGAGAGTTAAATTTTTTTGTAGTAGTTAAATTGTGCATATAATGTTTCGTACTAGTCAAGGCTTAAACGTTTATTCATTGCTTTAAAAACGTTTAGAGTATGCAGAATAGAGAAAAAGAAAGAACAAAAAAAGAACAAAGAGATAGAGTGAGAAAAAGAAAAGGGATGGTAGGGGAAGAAGACAAATTTATCGAAAGTAAAAAAAGAAAAAAAAAATAAGGTGAAGCTTTCAAGGTGGCGCAATCGAGAACGCGCGTTGCGCACATCGCTAAAAAACTACCACTGCGCATCGTGGTTCCAAATCCCCAGAACGTGGATAAGCCAATTAGAATGCAGGATCTATTTAAAATTTATATTTAAAACCAGTGGCGGATTAAATCAAATGAGAGCCTCAAATTCAAATTAGAAAAAGAAAATTTCATTAAAAAAAAAAAAAAACTTTCATTTAATTATTAACAATAATATTAAATTTATTACAACATTAATTAAATTAGTTGAATTTATTAACAAAAGTAATTTTACTTTAATTTTAATGAAAAGACATTTTAAGATATCGAAGTCCTTCGAGAGATTCTTTGAAGTTCCTGAGTGATTAATTTAATCGATTATCGATTAATCCGTCACTGATTGGAACTCTCTTAAATGAATATTTAAAATTTCGATTATTGGCCACGTTCTAGGGATTTTCGATTACTTTACACTAGTTCGCCGCGGGTGGCGCTACAATTGCTCCGAATGATCCTAACGATTCAGTTCGTGTTAATCCGTCGTACAGTACGGACGTTCGTGCGATTGAATCTCCTGTCAACGAGTACGCGTTATAAATTCGTTTCTTTCGGAGTTTAAGAAATAACAGAAATATGACAACATATATCAATTGAAGTAGTGTTTTGTAAAATTATCTCGAATATTATTTATCAAAAAGAAGACACACAGAAAAAAAGAAGAAAACAAGTAAGATATGCATTTGATCGATCATTTTCTTTTCTTTATATACTCTTAACGTTCTCATTCATTTTTTGTTTCCTTAAACATTATACTTGACACATTTATGCACTGACTGTCATCTCATATATCATCGTTATTCCTTTCACCAATTAATTCTCGAAACTACGATTTGTGATGCTGCCACGGCAAGTAGTTGAATTGAATTTGTTTTAAGAAAAAAAAAAGAAGAACAAAAATTGAGAGGACGATCGAGTCTCGCGAGTGCATCGACCCGAACCGAGTTATTGATTTTCCCCGTCCAACTAGCACACACGCGTATAATATACCCTTACGTTTTATTATGTTACCTGTTGTGTGTGATATGTCATATCATATTTTCTATTTTTTTCCTACGTATCATTTATTTCTTTATAAACAAAATAATAATAATAATAATTCATTTTTTTCGAGACGTTTCGAGAAAAAAAAAATGGAACTTCAAAAAGAAAATTTCGGTTACTAACCTACGTTAATTCTATACCATTCGGCCTAGTTTCAATGAACTTTCGAAAGCTTCTGGGCCTCTTGTAGAAACACAACGAAAGCTCCTTTGTACATTTTATTCCCCCCCCTCCCCTAAAAAAATGGATCCATCGTATATTTTATTTTTCAATTTCATCGATCGTATCATTTGATAAAATTTCAATTATTATTGTATTAATTATATTTATTTATGTATTTTTGCAAAATCATGTTAATTTGATTTCATTAAAACAAACGCTCATTTGATTCATTTCTTCCCTCATCTCCCACCCTTTCGTTGTATCATTTAAATCTAGTATCGAATAATTGATGATTCGATATCCCGTTGTCCTAGTTATTTAAATAATCAATCGATTTTAAATAATCGATCTTTCGATTATTACGTCTTTTATCTTTTTTCTTATTGTTTTATTTTTTATTATTTTTTTTATCTAAGTATCGTTCGTGACATTTTAATTGAAATTGACGATAGTATGTGAGATGGGGGTTAGGAAGAGGAAGAGAAGGAGAAGGAAGAGGGAGGAAAAAGCAATAAAGTCAAGACAATTAATTACAAATTGACTAGTACCAACTGGTACTCACATATACATATATATATGTAATATATATAATTATTTGTTTCTCTGTAGAGTAGTTATATTTAAATTATATGAATAATCAATTCTAAAATATCGCGTATAAATCGATTACGAATGTGATTATGTTGATAACCACAAAAGCAAATTATCATCGAATATATTTGTCCAAACTTGTTATTCTATTTTAATATTTATTATTAATATAAATGTATTTTTAAATATGTTTGTCTGATTATTATTTTTTTTTTTTTTTTTAGTGTTTCGTATTTTTTATTAAATATTTTATTCGATTTATTAAAGAAAAAAAATGGCCTCCAAATATTTTATGAAAACGAATATATAATTAATATATTACTGAATATATTTGTGTTGAAATTTATATATAATTGCTTTTTTTTTACTATTTAATATTTAATATAAATATATTTTGAAATATGTTTGTCTGATTATTTTTTTTATTTTGTTTTTTTTTTGTATTCAATATTTCATTTGATTAATTAGGTGGGTGGGTGAGTGGTGGGGGGATAGAAAAAACATGTCCTCCTCCACTGACATTTTATGAATACGAGTATAATTGTAACGGTATAAACAAATTAATTTAAATACTTGAATGATTCGAGTGATCGTGTGAATAGATAAAAAAAAAAAATAAAAAAGAAAATAAAATGGACGAACAAACACAGAAAACATTTCTAAGAAAAAAGAAAAAAAAAGAGAAAAAAAATAAAACAGGATAATCATGAGAGTCAATGATATAATATAGTTGAAGAATGTAAATATTTAATAAACTATAGTTGTATATGTGTATGTGAATGTGTTTGTGTGTGTGTGTATTTCTTCCTTTTGCTGATCGATACTTCTCAACATCGAATATATCGAAGAAATTTTATTCGCAAGCAATCGAAAGTTACAACATGCCATTTTCATAATAACTTTTTATTGAGTTTTGTTGAAAATATTGTAAGGATAACTGTACAACGGAAAACAGACAAAAAGGAATTTTTCAAGGTCAAAGAACATTTCTTTTTTTCTCATGGCATATTTTATAATTGTGTGGGGATATATTTCGTACATATATGTTTAAAAGTATATACCTAATGTTCGACCTTCGCGTGACTAGAAATTTGCGTAGGTGGCGAATCAACGAGCATATTATACTTTTTGTTTAAAGAACACAGAAAAACTATCCTAAATAATAAATTTATTTAATAAATATATATGCTATTAGGTTTATTTTTTTGTTTTTTTTGTTTTTTTTTTTTATTTTCAATAAGTTGTGTACAATAATTTAAATGATTTATTTAAAAACAGAACAACTGTGTTATACCGCCATTTTCAGTACACCTATTTCTACCACACTAGTCAAAATGACTACTGGTGTATAAAAAACAAAAATTGCATTTTGTAACTTCCAGTCTTTATATTTACTCTTAAAAAATAACATAAATGTTTAACAATAATAATTTTAATATATAAATGGATTTGTGGACATTTTTAAATAACAAAACGCTTAAAATTATTTACACAATTCAAATGTTATATTTGTGAAGTAGAAATTTTGAATTAAAATGGCGTCAATCAGTCCAAATGACTGGGTCTGGTATATCTAGTGTTAAATCAATGAAATAAAAAAGATATAAAAAATAATATAATATTGCGATTTTAAATTGAGATATAAACTATCCTATCTTTCAAGTTGGATGAAACTGCATACAGTGTGCAAAATTTTATTAAAATCGGTTCAGTAATTTAGGAGTCCATTGCGGACAAACAACGTTACTCTTACTAATTTATATATACATATTAAGAAGATTATACATGTAATTAATTAATAAAATATACATATAATTATTTAATATAAAATATCTATATTGTAATATAAAATATTACATATATATAATTATACATGTGTGTATATATATATATAATTTAATTTATATATTTGAATATAATTTAATATTATTATTTAATAATATTACATTTTGTAATGCAAAATATAATTAAATGTATTATTAATATTTTTTTTTTGTTTCAACAGAAAACAAAAAGGAAATCACAAAAAGAAGACAAGTAAAATAAGAAAAACAAGGATTAACATATGAAGAAGGTACGTTTGATCATAAATATTTAACACATTATTTTATTTGTGTTTTATTTTCAATAAAAATTCAAGTATTTCAAGAATATTAAATTATATTAACATAAATAAAGTATATATAATAAAATATCTCTCTCTCTCTCTCTATATATATATATATATAAAGATCAAGTAGAGAATCGATGAATTATTGATTAAATAATCATTTTATTTTTTTTTTATTTATATCATTGAATATATTTTTTTTTAATATCCTTGATACACACACACACACACACACACACAGATGGAAATTCATTTTGTATTCTTCTCACGAGATACATTTTAAATATTCTAAAGTGGGATAGAAGAAGGAAGGAGGAGAAGAAGAAGGAGACGACAAAACTGAATAAAACGAAGAAAAATTTATTCTAAAGAAACTAAAGAAACTTACAGTGAGTCGTAGAAATGAAAGATACAAGTGGTACAAAATACGAACAATTCTTCGACGACGCTACGTTGGAGATACCACCTGACAAGGAACAATCCAAAGAACAACAGCAAAACAATGCGGATTTAAACGAGGAGGTAAATATTTATTATTTATGTTCATTATCATTAATGATATTAAAATGAATCCAAAGTTCGTTAATTTAGTCTGTTTAAATTATTTACTTTGAAATTGTATTGTCATTAATAATATTAGGATGAATTAAGAATTCATGAGTTTATTTTAATCAATCTGTTTATTTTGAAACTGTATAATACAGTTGTTTTTTTGTAAAATTAATTTTTAAGATAATTATTTAAAAACAGAAACTAATTCTTTTGATTTATTCTAGTAAAATGAGTATAAATAGCAACATCATTTGGTTATTTCCATATTTAAAATATATTTACATGTTTGCTTACTTTGAAACTGTATAATAGAGTTGTTTTTTGTAAAATTAATTTTTAAGATAATTATTTAAAAACAGAAACTAACTCTTTTAGTTCATTTTAATAAAATGTTCACAAATAGTAATATAATTTTAATACATTCATATAAATACTTTTATACGACATATTTAAAATATATTTATATGTTTGCTTACTTTGAAACTGTATAATAATACAGTTATTTTTGTAAAATTAACTTTTGAGATATTAATTTAAAAATAAAAACGCGAATTCTGTTGGTTCATTTTTATAAAATGTGCACAAATGGGGATCATAATTTTAATATTTTCATATTTAAAATACATTTATATGCTTTTTTAATTTGAAACTGTATAAATAACTTATTTTTGTAAATTTCACTGTTTAGATATTAATTTAAAAACAAAAACTAACTTTTTTGATTCATTTTAATAAAATGTACACAAATGGTAACATAATTTTAATATTTTCATATTTAAAATACATTTATATGCTTATTTAGTTTGAAACTGTATAATATAGTTATTTTTGCAAAATTAACTTTTGAGATATCAATTTAAAAACAAAAACTAATTTTTTTTGGTTTATTTTAATAAAATATGCACTGATGAGCATCATAGTTTTGATATTTTCATATTTAAAATACATTTATATGCTTGTTTAGTTTGCAACTGTATAATACAGTTGTTTATTATAAAATTAACATTTGTGATAATTATTTAAAAATCAAAACGAATTCTTTGGGTTCATTTTAATAAATTATACACAAATGAGGATCATAATTTTGATATTTTCATATTTAAAATACATTTATATGCTTATTTAGTTTGAAACTGTATAATACAGTTATTTTTATAAAATAACCTTTTGAAATATTAATTGAAAAACAAAAACGAATTCTTTGGATTCATTTTAATAAATTATATACAAATGAGGATCATAATTTTGATATTTTCATATTTAAAATACATTTATATGCTTATTCAGTTTGAAACTGTATAATACAGTTATTTTTATAAAATAACCTTTTGAGATATTAATTGAAAAACAAAAACGAATTCTTTGGATTCATTTTAATAAATTATACACAAATGAGGATTATAGTTTTGATATTTTTATATTTAAAATACATTTATATGCTTGTTTTATTTAAAAAGAAAAATATTACTATTAGTAATAATAATAATAATCATCATCATTATCATCATAGTCTTCGTCTTCGTTATCGATTTTCGATTGAAATATATTACACACAGTGTTGTATACTTTCATACTATGTTTACGTATAAATATTACAAAAGTAATATTCATTTAAAATTCCATGAATTCTAAGTTTATGAGTTTCTCCGAACTTATCGATCGAGTTTATCCATTCTGTGTCGTTTTACTTTGGTTTTAACCAGAAAAACATGATCCACCATTTTACATATTTACGTTTACTTTTATCTTACATATTTTTTTCTTTATGTTTTTTTTTTCTTTATTTTTTATTCCCATATTATATTATATTTTCTTTTTTTTTATTCATAATATTTTTTTATTCTTTACTTTTTGTTCCCCCCATTACTTAGGTGTTTTATTTTTTATTTATATATTTTTATCCTTCTTTATAAACTCGTTCGATTATATCGTTGACAATAATTGGCTGATATTTAAAAGCATTCAAGGAGAAATTTTCGATATTCTCGAATAAACTATTGGAGCCAAGAAAAAGTTCACTTTCTTGGCGACCAAACAAATTTTTCATTGTCTTTCGACAAAAGCCGTGCGAGTAGCTCCTTTCCACCATGAAGCATCAAATTACCAATCTTTTTTTTTTTACAAGAATAAAATTGTCTCATGTTTTTGTACCTTACTGTATTATTTTTCCCTTTTTTTTTCTTTTTATTTTTGTCAACCTTTTAATTTATGTTCTTTTAAATGTCTCAATTTTTAAACGAGTTTTCTGTCAAATTGTATTTAATTTAATTCAATTTCATTAACAAAGCTGTATTTTATACTTAAAACAACACACCTGTGTTTAAAATATGTATATTTACAGAAAGATTCAATTTAAATTTCTTTTTTTTTCTTTCTTGTATTTTTCATTATTTTTAAAGATTAAATATTTTAAAAACATTTTAAAAAGTTACAGAAAAATTGTGTTTGAAATGTACACGTGTTTACTGTTTGAAAATCATAAAATTGATTTCTACGCGCAAAATACGAATAATTGGCCAACAACATTGTGTCCTAATTTTGCTTGATGAAATAAAGTTGATAAAACCAGTACAGTAGTAAGTTTATCTTATTGACGAAAAGAATCGTATCTAATTGTAAATAATAATTTAATACGCAAAAAAAAAAGAAATGAAAATTAACTCAATTTTTTTTTTCTCGTATCATCATGAGAATTCATTTCTAATATACAGTCTTATAGTACACAGTCTTATAATATACAGTCTTATAGTACACAGTCTTATAATATACAGTCTTATAGTACACAGTCTTATAATANACAGTCTTATAGTACACAGTCTTATAATATACAGTCTTATAGTACACAGTCTTATAATATACAGTCTTATAGTACACAGTCTTATAATATACAGTTTTATAGTACACAATCTTATAATATACAGTATTTACTTTATAAAATGATTCATAGAAATTTTTCAAATATTCCTGACATTAAGATGAAGTATCTTAAATTAGATAAACAAAAAATTTATCTACCACGAATTCTTACTGCGTGATTAATTGCAATTTATACAACACACATATGTGTGAACGTATTTATATTCAAAAGGAATTCATAAAAATTAAACCAATTGAAATGATTATTTTTTTCTTCTAAATTATTTATTTATTTATTTATTTATTTATATTTGTATTATTTATTCATTTATATAAAAAAAAAAAAAAAAATTCAAAAATTATATTACACTGTCGGTAATGTAGGAATTGATCGTTCGGAATGCGACAAGTGTGTCATTTTTTAGGTCACGTGATACATAACTTCACACATACATATCACGTATAATGTACCACATTGTTACACATACACATACACACACATACATACACAGTTAAACGGAGAAAATCCAATTACGTATAAAACTGGTACACGTTTCATTTACCGGTTTGTCATCGTCATGACGTATGTTTGCATTTATCATGTTCATTTTTCATTATATACAGTATATACATACTAGAAAACTGTATATATATATATACATATATATATATAGAAAATAATATAAACACTGCACCGTTTCTATTTTACTATTCAGTTTATCTATTGACGCATGCGCATTAGTCTCGAAATACTTCCAAAAAGTGCTGTCAGAGTTCAATGTTTTTACATTCAAAATAAAAAAAAATGTATTATTATTTTATACAATGATGACAAATGTTTAAAAATAAGTGATACATAATATTATTAAATATTAAATTGAATTATAAAATAAATTCGCGCGTGTTGTGTGATTATCAAAAATAATATAACCTCTGTTTATAAACTATGTGTCATATTATTTGTAGGTTAGAAAGTATCATACTACTAATTAATTACATTAAACAAACATGAATAAATAATTAAATAATAATATTATTTAATATTTATTTATTTATTATAAATAAATACTGTATTGATTAAACGAATTATTTGAATTATATTTATTTTATGTTTAAGGATAAAAATAAGGATAACAAAATGTGGTTAACGACAGCAGAAGCGGCAAGTCTTGGTGCTGAGGAGGTAGCAGCAAGATTACACGTTGATGTGAGAACAGGATTACAATGGCAAGAAGCTGATCAAAGAAGACAATTAATTGGTTTTAATGAATTCACTGTTAAAGAGGAAGAACCTACGTGGAAGAAATATATTGAACAAGTGCGTTCTCATTTTTGTATGGTTATGCTAACAATTTATAAAGTTTTTATGTATAAGAAAGTTTTAATTGGTTAATGTATGTTTTTCTTTATTGCAGTTTAAAAATCCGTTGATTCTTTTATTACTTGCATCCGCATTTGTCAGTGTTTGTATGAAACAATTTGATGATGCTGTCAGTATTACAGTGGTAAATATCAAATATGTGAAATATGATAATTAATTATGTTAACAAATATTCTTCATTTGTATTATATTTATTATATTTGTTTCCTTAGGCTATCATAATAGTAGTAACAGTTGCATTTGTACAAGAATATCGTTCTGAAAAATCTTTGGAAGAACTTAACAAACTAGTACCTCCTACTTGTCACTGGTAAATAATATTAATATCAATCTAAATCACAAAATAATTATACATACATCTTATTAACTTATTTATCTCTTTATTTTCTATTTTAGTTTACGGGAGGGACAAGTAGAAACATTTCTTGCTCGTAATTTAGTTCCTGGTGATATAGTTTATTTAAATATTGGTGATAAAGTACCAGCAGATATTAGAATATTTGAAGCAATAGATTTGGCTATCGATGAAAGTAGTTTCACTGGAGAAACAGAACCAGCTCAAAAATCAACTGCACCCTTGCTTAAGACAAATGGATTAACATCAAAGAAAAATATTGCATTTATGGGAACATTAGTGCGATGTGGAAATGGCAAAGTAAGTGAAAGTTAACCAAAAATTACATGATTCTTAACATTTCATTCATTTATCTAATTAAACATGATATATTTGAAGGGTGTGGTAGTAAATACAGGAGAAAAGAGTGAATTTGGTGAAGTCTTTACAATGATGCAAGCTGAAGAAGCACCAAAAACACCTTTGCAAAGGAGTATGGATATTTTGGGTACACAATTATCATTCTACTCGTTCTGTATTATTGGCATTATTATGTTACTTGGCTGGGTCCAAGGAAAAGCCATTTTAGAAATGTTTACAATTAGCGTCAGTTTAGCAGTAGCAGCTATACCCGAAGGTTTACCTATCGTTGTTACTGTAACATTAGCATTAGGTGTTATGCGAATGGCTAAGAGAAATGCAATTGTTAAAAAATTACCAACTGTTGAGACCCTTGGTAAGATGATTTTTCATTTCAACTTATGAATACTCAATCATATTATTACATATTTCTTTATTTAATACTTGTTTCATTCATTTCAATTGTATTTCATTATATACAGGATGTGTAAATGTAATATGTTCTGATAAAACTGGTACAATAACCAAAAATGAGATGACAGCTACAATTCTTGTAACATCTGAAGGATACATTGCTGATATTACTGGAGCTGGTTACAATGATAAAGGTGAAGTACGAATAAGAAAATGTGACAACAGTGATTTGGCACGTGCTGCGATTACACACATGTTAGAAGTAGGATGTATATGTAATAATGCTGTAATACAAAACGACACTTTACTCGGTCAACCAACCGAAGGTGCTTTATTAGCTTTGTCAATGAAATTTGGAATGTATGGTTACGCTGACAGATATTTACGTTTACAAGAATATCCATTTTCTTCTGAACAAAAGATGATGGCTGTTAAATGTGCACCTAAATATGAAGAAGTAAGCAAAACGTTCTTTCTACCTGGTATTATTTCAATCATTTCTGAATTGTTGTTTCATTTTTTGCTTATTTATTTTTTGTAGAATAAACAAGAAATATATTTTGTAAAAGGAGCAATGGAAAAGATATTACCACAATGTACAAAATATTATGCCAATGGTCAAGAATATCCTTTGAATCAAAAGAAAGATCAAGAATTTTTAACGGAGGCTTATGATATTGGTCAACAAGGGCTGAGAGGTGCTGTTTAATAAGTATGAAGATAAAGAATATCGAGATTTGATTATTACTATTGCTCATATACTGTCATACGTTTGTTTTTAGTAATCGGTCTTGCACGTGGTACTTCATTACAAGATTTAGTATACGTTGGTCTTGTGGGTATTTGTGATCCACCAAGGCCACATGTTCGTGAATCAATTGCAACCCTGATGAACAGTGGTGTCAAAGTTAAAATGGTTACTGGTGATGCTAAAGAAACTGCTGTTGCTATTGGTACGTCGTTTATTTTTTTTTTAAACTATGCTCATTAATTCATGATTGTTGAATGATATTATTATTACAGCAAGTATGATTGGATTGGATACGCTTCATTCACGTTTAATGTCCGGTGACGAGATTGATTCGATGTCTGAACTGCAATTAGAACAATTAATAGAAAACGTTAGTGTATTTTATCGAGTAACACCTAAACATAAATTGTGCATAGTAAAAGCATTACAACGGGAAGGTAATATTGTGGGTATGACTGGTGATGGTGTCAATGATGGTGTTGCTTTGAAGAAAGCTGACATTGGTATAGCTATGGGAAAAAATGGCACTGACGTTTGCAAAGAAGCAGCTGACATGATATTGGTCGATGATGATTTTGGAACAATTATGTAAGAACATAATAAATTATTCGTTTGTACATACATATCATTTAACATAAATAAATTAATAATTGTTTCATTAGATGAGTTATTATTATGAAAGGATTAACAAGACCATTATTTTCATGTTTAACTTTTAGTGCTGCTATTGAAGAAGGTAAAGGTATTTTCCACAACATTCGTAACTTCGTAAGATTCCAATTGAGTACAAGTATAGCAGCATTATCTTTAATTGCACTTGCAACATTAATGGGTGTACCTAATCCATTAAATGCAATGCAAATACTTTGGATTAATATTATTATGGACGGTCCACCTGCTCAAAGGTTTGAACAAATTCTTGAATATTAATCCTTTGCATTCGAACGGCATCAAATTAGTGCCTGACAGGATATGAGTGACAACTCGAATGGCGCTGATACGACGCCCGACTGATTTTAAGTCTTTTGAACGAAAAAGGTCCTCGAGTGCAAAGGGTTAATTTGCATTTTATTACTAATTTTGATAGAATTGAGATTTATTATAAATATATTTTTCAATTTTATTTTATATTTACAGTTTGGGAGTTGAACCTGTCGACAAAGATGTTTTAAAACAAAAGCCACGAAATATCAAAGAACCTATGATAACGAAACATCTTATAATAAATGTATTATTATCTGCATTTATTATAATTGCTGGTACAACGTGGGTTTACAAAAGAGAGGTAAGAAACGTTACTTATGTTAACAATATTTATATTTGTTATATCATGTTTGTTTTTTTTTCATGAATTTATTTAGATGACGTCGGATGGTCATACAGCACGAGACACAACCATGACATTCACTTGCTTCGTTTTCTTCGATATGTTCAACGCATTAAGTTGCAGGTCGCAGGTAAATATGTGTCCTTATTAACAGGTTGAATGCCACGGGGGAGGTCACCGGTGACCGGCACTTAACTTAGCTGTGACGCCATGGGGGTCACCAGTGACCAGTATGCACAGATTAATAGAAATATATTCCACATCGTGGCGCCATGAACAATCCCGGTAAAATTGGCGTGGCATTTAACCTGTTAATGAAAGACTATTATTTTTTTTTTTTATTGTTTCATATTATAATGTTAATTATTTTACAGAAAAAATCCATTTTTACAATTGGATTATGGAGTAACAAAATGTTTTTGGTAGCTGTAACATTATCAGTAATAGGACAAATGTTAGTCATTTATTTTCCTCCATTGCAAAGAGTATTTCAAACTGAAGCATTAACAGCAAACGGTACGTAATGTTATTAATTTATGCAAACATAGATCAACGATACTCACCATCAGCCATTTTCTTGTTTTTCTTGGTTAACAAGCGATCAGTTGAGCCGTTTATTTGGAAAATGGTCTAACGTTATTGAAATATTGAAAGGTTTACGTTTCAATGTAATTAAAAAGGATAGTAACGAGTCATATTGCTTAAGTATATCTAAAGGGTGTTCAATTTATAGTTTCTATTAAAGTAGTGCCAATTATTAAGTGAATAATATGCATTTTCTTAGTAAGAATGGAGTTATATAGTCCACTTTCAAAGTAAGCTTTGTCATCGTTTCATTAATCAGCAAATTTTGAATGATTTTTAATATATTAGTAACAAGTTGCTTGAGAATAAAAAGATCATGTAAAAATTTAAACTATTACAGTTGCTAACTTGACTTTTTTGAAAAATGGAGTGACCACTTTTAAAATAAACGGCTCATATATAGCTATAGATCAACGATACTCAATCATTCTTTTGTTTCTTGATTAATAAGCGATCAATTATTGTTACATTTCAAGATTATTTATTTTTTGTTAATATTTAATTAAATTTAAATTTATAATTACCCTTTTAACACTTTAATGGCCGCATTACGTCTACATAATTAAACGTCGTCAGAGTTAGGTAATATTTATGAATATAATTAATTTACAGAAATTTTATATTAAATTGATGAAAAAATTAACATAAAAAAAAAACAACAAATTTAATTTGATATAATTTTAAATATATCAAAAGTTATAAATATAAATAAACAGTCAATAACGGTTGTTCCATTCACTCATGTTGTATGGAGCGGCCATTAAAGTGTTAAGACAGTGCGGCGTCAAAGCTCGTTATGAATATATCTGACTGATACAATTTTTGATCAAATTTCAGATATCTTATTTTTAGTTGCATTGACATCGAGTGTGTTTGTGATTAGTGAATTGAAAAAATTTCTCGAGAGGCTATTACAAAAGCGACGTACCGGTGGACAATACTACAGTAAATCGGAGATGGACTTTGTATGACAGTTGCAGTCTGCCGAAGATATGGCGGACAAAGATCACGTGGAGTGAATTATATTAACATGAATTATATCGACTAAAGTAATTTCAGTCGTACTACTGAGTAAACATTATCTATTTTTTTTTTTTTTTCGTTTTTTTAACCCTATTCTACATTCTTGATATTATCCTTGCGAAATATTATTAACGTTGCAATTACGCAAGGACACCATTTTTTTTTGTTTGTTTTTTTTTTTTTTTTAAATAAGAAAAATATTCTCTCAGGTTTTATTTCTTTTTATTTTTTGTAACCTTCCTATATTTTTTTTCTCTCTCTTCCCCTCCCCTCCCCCTTCCCTCCCCTGTTTTATTCTTTCTATTATTTGTAACTGCATTTTTTACCATTTATACAGAAAGAAAAAAAAAAGGAAGAAAAAGTAAAACAATTTTATTACACTGTAAATGACATGAGAATGTTGTTTTTTTGTGTTATGAATAATCATGGCGACCGTAAGAAACAAAAAAAACAAAAAGGAAAAGGAAAGATTAAAGAAAAGAAACGTAAGAGATAAAAAAGAAGAAAAAAAAAACAAAATGAAAAGAAATAATTAATAATAATAATAATAATAATAATAATAATAATAATTAGGTCACACACACTTACTACTTGTCTTTTAATAATTATGATTGTACGTGTGGTATATATATATAAATATTTAAAATAATCTTTGCACATTCCACATGCACCTTTTCAAATATTATACCCAAAATTTGTCTTTTAAAAATATCATCAATATAATTATTAATCGCACGTATATATATATATAAATATCTTTCCAAAAATTTCTAACAAAAACCTAACCTCTCAAAACCGCCCCCCCCCCACCACCACGAAATTTAATAAGTCAAATATTTCCTCGGTGGTGGGGGTAAACTATTTAAAACAACGTATTCTTTAAAACAACGATTTTTACGATGTTAATTCGTAAAAAAAAAAACAAAAATAAATTTGAAAAAATAATAGACAAAATATATTCTCCAATAAAAATGGCGCATTAAATCTTCTAGAAAATAATCATCATTTAAAATGTTTATTAAAAAAAAAAAAANAAAAAAAAAAAAAAAAAAAGATAGAAAAAAACAAAATAAAACAAGATTTGATTTTACAAACGTTTAATATAGTATATTCAACATTAAAATTGAATAATAAACAACATTATTTATATATCGTTTTATGAAAAAGAAAGTTAAACAATATACACATAAACACATTTATAAATTTATACATTTATTATTATTATTATATTTAAGAATTGATAGTTTTAACAATATAGATGGAAAATAAATGATCTGGTAATGTTCCTTGATTCCCATAAGTGAACAATTATTAAACATTTTATTGTAACAACGAGATTATTATTATTATTATCATTATTATTACATTTTATTACGTCATTATAAATAAAACGAATGTTTTAATCAGATATAACAAAAACAAAAATAAAAAACAAATATTATTTACAGTAATTTACACGTTCAATCTTCTGAAACGTTTGTTTGTCTGTTTGTTTATTGTTTATTGTTTTTTTTTATGCTCCAAACAATATGAAAGGAGTAAAATACAATAAAATGAAAGAAAACAATTAATTTTTGACTCTCGTTGTTACAAATATTAAATCTTGTACAAATATACCTCTATTTACATGATAGTCAATCAATAATAATTCATATAAAATATTCTCTGTTGTTATATGCTTAATAGTAATAATAATAATAATAGTAATAATAATAATAATAATAATAAATAATGCTTTAATCATAGAAATGAATTCCTAAAGATAAAGAAAATAAAAACAACAACAACAACAACGTATTAATGCGAATATTATAAATTTTCCATTAGTACACACATTAACACTTTAATGGCGGCTCATACAACATCTGTCTGTGATGAATTATGAATATTAACAATTATAAATATTATATTACTAATTAATTATTGTTTTTTTTTTGTCAATTATTATTAGGTTATCCAGAAAGTTCGTGCCGATTTCCGATAGATGGCATTAATGTTCTTTTGCTAAAAAAAGAAAAAAAACCTGAAAAGTTCTGAAAGGACAAAAATTTTGTAGTCAACCTTAAAAATGGAGAAAAATTGTGAAATAAAATGGCACTTATATATAATTTAATAAATATATATCAATAAAAAGAACTCAAATTGTAAAACATTTCAATCTTTCATTAAAATCGACACAAACTTTCCGGACAATCCAATATTTTATTATAAATTTGTTATTAATTTGCTAGTATTTTTATGTTTTATGTGTATGCTCGGACATGTTGTATTTTACATGAATTTTGATGAAATTTGATTAATGCGTTGAGTACTACGTCAGTCATTGATGACTGACCCCTGAACTTCACATTCAGACCATGTCAGACGCATGTGCCTGACATTCCACATTTTTTTTTTGCTACACGTGGCCTGACGAAGATTTTCGAAAAATTTGACGAAAATAATTTCGCGTGGCGCGAAATTTAAATTTTTTTTTTCAATAAATATTGTCCAACACTTGGTGTAACAACATTTGACTACGTAAACGTGCGGCCATTGAAGTGTTCAAATGCATTATGATTAGTATTTAAAAGTGCACTGTTTAGCAAAAAATAAAAATAAAAGATTAAAAAAAAGAAAACATACACACACATATGCACACATGAAAAAAAAAAATGAAAAAAATGATTCTTAGAATTTAATGTATGCCTTCGAGTATAGTGAACGTTTTATATTCGTACAAATCGGGACCTCCGTAGCCGTACAAGAGTTTACCTCTTCCGTTCTCGTCGTAATACGGATAACGATACTTTGGCCTAAAAAAAGAATATAAACAAAAGAAAAATGGCGGATAATGAAGAATCAAATGAAAACTGACATTAAGTCAAACGAATGATTGAAGAAGAAAAAGAAAAAGAAAACAAATCTCATTCTTATTAGGAAGAGAACGTTATTTATATTTTAGAAATATAAATTTTAGAGTGAAAGTATCTTATAGATAAGTTATTAAAATATAAATTTGTAATAATCGATGTTTGTTGTTTACAATTACGCTTTTTAATAGTTTTATCACGTAAACACATTTCATTCGAGATTAATTAATCGATATGATATATATAATACGTATTATATATATGATATATAATAATACGTGTTTATTATAAACATTTTAATAAAATTATATTAATTATAAAACACACAAAAAAAAAACAATATTATAATAACTTGTCTAAACTTTATTATACTTTATTATACTCCATTTTGAATTTATTTTTCTAACTAAATGTATTTTTATTACAATTTCTTTTCTTTTTTTTTTTTTTTAATTTTATTTTAAACTACGAATATAACTCGTCACATTTTAATTTATTTTTCAATACTATATAATTGATTATTATTATTATTATTTATATATATTAATATTTATTATAATCTTACCTTTCAAAATATTGGAAATTGGGTGCTTTTGGTTGTGCAACTGTTGCATTAATTTCGACAATTAATCCAAGGAATATTACAATGATCGTTAAAAATATCACATTATACATTTTCTATAAAGAAAAATGTTTCATATAATTAATTTATATAAACAATAATTTCCCTTTCTTTTTTTTTTTATTTCTTATAAATATTATTGTATACTTACCATTTTATATATTTTTAATGCCATGATTTATATTCACTCAAAGAATTTTTACGTTTTTAATTAATGATGATATTTAAAACGATTTTTTATACACACAATGATTTTATTTGAATTTATATTTATATATATGATATCAAACACTGTAAATAATGATATAAAAAATTAATCAAAAATGAGTAACATCACGGACGTTTATATTCAACGTGTTTGATTCTTTCAATGTTTTAAAACTAACTGACTTTACCTCATCAATTTATCCCCACTTCATTTTTCTTTTCTTGCACAATCATATTTGTTCATAGTGAAAGTTTTACCAACTACATATACCTATATATATATATATATATAAGATGTAATTTCTTTTACTTTCACTGTATTCTAACTGTAGAAACATTTACTATTCATCAATTCCTTCTTTTATTATAATAATCATTATTATTTATAAACAAATGTCATAAATATATTTGGAATATTTAATATTAATAAAATACATGCAAAATATGTTTATTGTATCTTTTGTAACATAAAAAATGAATTAAATCCTTTCATGAAGTGAAAGTTTATTAAAAAAACGCTTAACATTTAAACAATTTTATATATTTAAAAAATATTCCAAATAAAATGTGACACATTGTATTTATTATATAACAATTTTACTTACATTACATAAAATAATATTATTTTTTAATGTATAATAATATTCGAATTATTTAATTAACAAGAAATCATTTGAATGTCGATAAAATGCAAAACTTCATTTGACTCAGCTTGTGAACATATATTTATACTTATCGTTAAGAATAATTATTCCCCCACTCCCACTCTCTCTTAACCCTACCCTAACCTATAATAAAAATATTTTTATTTCTTATTTAAATCTTTTTTTTTAATTCTTTTTTACGTAACGAAGTAAATGCGCGTGCTAACAGATGACGCAAATGATCGTTTAAATATTTAATTCTTTCCTTTTTTTTTTTTTGTATTATGAAAAAATTGAGGAGGTTATAAAATTACGAATTTTTAATTTGAATAAATAATTCTTCCATTTTTTTTCTTTTTTTTTTTTCTTTAATCACAAAGATAATCATTTTACAAATCATAAAAATATATTATTGATTAATTATTAACAACGTAATAAAAAATATCTCGTTTTTTTTTTTAATTAAATAAAAAAAAAAGTAGATTCTTTATTTAATGAATTTTTTTTCTTGTTTTTTTTTTTTCCTAACCTATAACTTTGTTTCTGTTTTTTCTTTTTCTTTTTTAACAATTAAACGTTTTAATCGACTCATTCAATTGTTTTTTTCTTGTTTTCTTAACTCGTCAACTTTATTTAATTTTTTTTAAAACGTTTAACCGCTTTATTCTTTTTTTTTTCAACTTACAAATGTCAATTAACTTTCTTTTGTTTTTTTGAAACAGTTAACCGTTTAAAATGGCTCCCTTTTCCATTTTTTTTTCTTTTTTTTTTTTTTAAACTTATCAACTTGATTTAATTTTTTTTTAAACGACTAAGTTTTTTTTCTTGTTTTTTTTTTCTAACCTATAAACTTTATTTAACTTTATTTCTGTTTTGTTTTTTTAACAATTAAACGTTTTAATCAGCCTCTTCAATTGTTTTTTCTTTTTTTAACTCTTATCAACTTAATTTAATTTTTTTTGAAAACAATTAAACGTTCAAAATGGCTGCCCTGTTCAATTTTTTTTTCTTCTTTTTTTTTAAACTTATTATTATAACCTTATTCCATTTTTGTTTAAACAATTAACCGTTTTTTTTTTAATTCATAGACCTTATTTAAGTTTATGTTTTTTTTTAAATAATTGAACGTTTTAATCAATTCCTTTCAATTTTTATTAGTAGGTGTACCCCATGGTCCAGAATATCCAATTCCCATACCCAATTTGGCTATAGCTTTTTCACCACGAAAACCATTGGTTTCCACGTAATCGATTCTTCTTTGTTTTCCAACTTCTGGATCAAAATTCCATTCAGTTCTCTTAAAAAAAAATTAATATATAAAAACAAAGATTAATAAAAAATCAAATTAATTAACTAATTTAACAATAATAACAATAATAATAATTGATATTTACATACTTGATGTATAACAGGTAATCCAGCAATGTTATTTTGTAAAAGATTGATCAACAGTCCAGAAGTTGCATGAACTAACAATTTATTATTCCCATTATTAATTATCAATAATAACGTCCATAATATTATCTAAAATAATAATAACAATCAACAAAAAAAAAATTAAGGTTATGTTTAAATAAATATTCTAATATTTATCTTACAATCTTTTCATCAAAAACAAAGACCAAAATCTTACCGTACGAATAAACAAATTCATTTCTTAAAAAAAAAAATACAAAAACAAAAAAAAAGACCCTTATAACACAAACACACAATACTACTTTTTCCAAAAACAATATGGCCGCAATTTTGGAACAAAACGTTTCTAATACCGTAATCGAATAACAACTAAATCCTTTTGTTTTATATGCAATGCATTTGAAAACAAGTATAAGTGCAGTTTGTGTATATAATTTAAAAGAAGGGAAACCATCGTTAGCTTTTCCTCTAACCTCATCCCCCCCCTCCCTGTCCCAACCGACCCCACCCCTTCTGCTAATAGTCAAACCTGGCGTAATATCAACAGTGAAAGTTGAAATTCTTATAAACAATGTACCAAGAAAAATAGACCTGTATGAAACCTAACTACGTAAAGGACACGTCTAAGGAATAATAATGAATTTGTGGTTAAGTAAAGAGACTCGAGGGTGGGGGTGGGGACTGAGAATGGGGTGGAGTGGTGGGGGATTAAGAAGAAAAAATTCATTTCAATATCAATTATCAATTCTATTCAGGTATTATCATTCAGAAAGTTAAACAGTATGAGAAGGTATAAAGGAGTGAAACGAACCATGTAGCAAGTTACATTTGTTCCAATTCACATTTGGGTCGGGTTTAAAGGTCGTTTCAATAAGTATTATGCGTTTTTACATCATTTTTTTAACAATTTTCTTATATACGGTGAGTTTTATTTTTTTTGTTTGTTTTTTTTTTTTCTACAACGTGTTAGCCTTGTACAATTTAATTTATTATTCTTCAACAGATATGTAATATAATCAATGAAGTTGATTGTACAATCATAACGGATATTAAGAAGACCCTGCCGTCAGATTTTTGGCCATCAAATTGGTGGCAAAGATTGAAAATTATTTTGTTTAATGGTGGATTATGGAAATTACATGAAAATACATCAGCTGGTATTTCAAAATTGTTATCAAGTTTTAATGGTGAAACCGGTTCTATGATGATAGTATTCAAACATGACGACGGTCCACGTGCATCTTACGCGTATCAGCAACGTTTTGGATTTCGTGGTCAGAGACTTGTTGAATTATTGGGAACCGGTTTTAATTCTTTTCAAGGAAATCCACAAGAACCGACATTAACATTTTTCTTAACTCCGCCTCTACCATCTTCTTGGCGAACGTTTTATAGAAATGTTTCTTGACAAATGATAATAATAATAATGATAATTAATATTTATTAGTTTCAAAAAAGGACACCTTGTGTCTTTGATTTTATAGAAATCATGATGTCATTATAATATTTATTATAAATCATAGTTTTTTTTTTGTTAATGTTAATAATATGACGTTATAATAATAATAATAATAATAATAATAATATTTATTAGTTTGAAAAAAGACACCCGATAAATATTTCCAAATGTGTCTTTGATTTTATGGAAATAATTATCAATTTATTATAATATTTATTATAAATCATAGTTTTGTTTGTTAATGTTAAAGATATGGCGTTTTAATAATAATAATAATAAAAAAATAAGCGAAGGATGATTACAGAGCCCAAACTTTAACGTAATCAATTTTCAAACTAGTTTTGCCTTGTTTCCATGATTTAGCCCATTGGTCACGTCCTTCGTAAAAATTAAGAACCGCCTGTTAAACAAATAATATAACAAAACATTACATTATTGTTGTTTAAACATAAACAAATGATAAATTATTATATTATATTTTACCTTGGATCCAATATTTTTCCAAGGTTTTTCGTAATTGTCGCTTCTACTCATATCTGGGAATTCCCCATAACCTCCAACGGCTAAGCCCAAGGTTAAGAAAAACTACAATTTAAAAAATAACAAATAATTCATTTTAATTAATTGTAATCGAAATTGTTCAACAAACATATTCGTCTTACCGGTTGGTTGAACGTATAATCAATTTTTTGTTCACCAAAAATTGTGTTATCAAATTTAGCGAGTATACGATCGTCTCTCCATTCAATTTCGTAAATGTGAAAGTCATCGGACCAAAGTGAATTGGTACTTCTATGCAAAAGATCTGATCTCGATGAATAAGGTGTTTGACTAGTTTGAAATGGTTTCAATCCACCAGCGGTAAGTACATGGCCACTCAGGTCCGTATTATGTACAGATCTTAAATTTGAATTACCGGAAGCGGATGCAATTCGAATTACTGGTTGTGTCCATCCTTCACGTTTATTATTTTCATTTGCAACTTCCAAGGATATTACTGTATTTCAATTAAACACCATATTAATATATACAAATTAAGTGTCACGTTGTTTGTCTGTAATAGACTCCTAAACTACTGAACCGATTTTAATGAAATTTTGCACACTGTGTGGAGTTTCATCCAATTTGAAAGATAGGATAGTTTATATTTCAATTTATAATCGCAATATTATTTTATTAATCGCGAATTATTTGTTTATTAACAAATGAGTCATGATTATCTCTGTTAGTTCGATAAGATTCTAACAGATGGCGGTATAAGGTAATTCGTTGACTTAAAGACGTGTGTATCGGATTGACCTTTTTCTATATGGTGTGCACAATTTTTTAAATCATCAATCGATTTTTTGATTAAAGTATTAATATAAAAATTTGACCTGCGTAGTAACTACATTAATTTTCGGACCTCCTAATATTAATATACCAATTAATTAAATATTATTTATGTAATATCATTAATTAAATAATATTATATATTAATTAGGATTTAATTAACAATTTGGTTAAATAATTATATTATGTTTACAAATATATTACTGGTCAACCAAAAATAAATATTATTAATTATAATATATAATGATATAATTATATATTAATATATTTAATAATATTGTAATTTATTTATTTAATATATTTAATCAATTAACCCTTAACAAACTAGCGTAGTTAAATATACAGTTAAGTTGTCGCGAGTATGGCGGCATTCCTTCGTTAAGGGTTAATATATTAATATTATTAAAAATTATAATTATATATTATAAATGTATAATTAAATATTGAATTTAATTAATATATTAATTATATATTTAATATTTTAATATATAATATTAAAATATATTTCATATTTATAAATAAAATAATTTTATTATTAATTACAAACAATAATTGCACATTATTATATGAAACAAAATAATAAACGTAGTTAACTTTTTTGGTTCACCCTAATAAATAAATAAATAAATAAGGGTTTTGTTATACTTTAATTCTAAACAAAATTGATTTTAAACTTACTTGGATATATCCAATCACCTGCCGGTAATTGAGCTCTTACTTCGATACGTCCATATTTAAATGCAAATGAATTGTTGGTATTTAAACGTCCTGACAATATTGGTGGTAAAATACTAGCCCCTACGGCTTGACGTTTGCAATCAAAGCTATCAGGTATGGCTGTGCACCTTTTCAAAGAAATATATTAATATAAATAATATTAATTTATATTAATTAAAATTGTCATTAAGATCCCAACCATATTTTTTTTTGTAATTTATATTTATTATTATTATTATTATTATTAATATTATTATTATTAATATAATTATTTTACCTAGGTAATTCCAACGTTCCTTCTCTAATAAATTCAGCGCTATGTTTTCCATCTAAAAATGTTGGTGTTATCACCAATTGTTGATTGTCTATATTAACGTTACTATTATCTTTGATATAAACAACGAACTCGAAATCCTAAAAATACAAAATATAATAAATATAAATATATAATATAATAAATATAATAAATTATAAATATATTAAAATTAATAATATTTATTTAATAATTAACACATTATTTTTGGGAACGTCGTGAACTTGACTCACGCGTCTAGCGGACGAAAATGAGCGAAATATGAAAGCAGTGTAACATGTTTTTAGAAAACATGTTATAATTTCACATCTAATAGTAGGATTTCAATGATATTTGAAAAATAGATATCAAATAGTATTTCGAAGATGTAAATAACTTCAACTCAATGCTATCAAAATTAAAATCAACTGAATTTATGCTACTTTGTAAGCACGAAACTTACAGCGTCAAAATAGCACATACATTTCATCAAATTATTAGTTGTTCTGAAAAATTCATAAATTTAAGACTAAACATTGATCAGGTTTTACAAAAAAAAAAAAAACATAACCAAAAACATCATTCCTGTTCAAAAATTAGTGACAATGAAAAAAAAAAAACCAAAACAAACATTAGTAAGTGTTTTACTGAAACTTAGCTTACGTTCTGTATAAAACGTATTAATACGCGACCCGCCGACCAGCCTCAGTCTGTGGAACAAGTAGAAATATCCGACCCGCCACACACACAATAGTGTGTTAATATAATTAATTATATCTTCTTATTATTATTATTATTTAATAAAAAAATATTGGAATTACCGGAGAACCAGAAAATTGTTCGATTACGTTCCATGTTGATGAATTAAGACTATCAAAGTTATCTTCGAAAATTAATTGATTCGTACAAACATTTTGTAAATTTCCATTTTTATCGAGTACTTTCGTTATCGAAGGTTTATCACAATTTCCATCCTTTTTCGAACCATGCGGTGTTCCGTCATAATTGAAGAATTCTTTATGAAAATTAAAGGATAAAATATGACAAAACAATGGCGAATACGAATAAAATAAATTAATATTTCGAAAAAATGTCATTAATACAAACCGGTTACTCTGTGTTCTTGATTTAAAAGATTATATCCTAATCCTTGATAAACAACGTGTACCCAGAAATAAATAACATCACCTTCTTTGAGTTCAGTAGTATGATCTTCGTAAACCCATCTGCCATTACGAGACTTTATAATATCAATACTAATTACTCCTGCTTCTAATGAATAAAAATCATCGTTGAATTTTACGTGATAAGCTACCAACGTGATACCCTGTTCATCTGTTAAGGAAAAAAAAAAAATAATAATAAAACAAGAAAAATAGAATATTTATTTTTATCATCTTCACTCGGTTGCGGTCATTATCTTGACCTTGAATTTGAATTCCAATTCGAATTTATCTACTACACTAATCAATTAGCTCTTCATTATGATTATTATTATTATTTTTTTCTAGACGGAATTAAAATAAAATTTAAAAAAAGAAAAAATGATTAAGATAACCTTTGTACAGTTTATTAATATTCATAAGCTATCGATCAAAACATTTTATTTGATATTTTATTACAAGTCAAATAAATACATTTAGACATGGGAAAATACAAACTGTTATGTAATAAAATAATTATAGTTGATACATCGTTATCAACATATATATATATATACTCATGTGTGATAAATGTTTAACATAGAAAAATTATCAATTTTATTGTAATATTATAATTGTAAATATATTATTCAATTAAAAATTATTTGATTACTTACGTGGCACAGATATACGCAGCCCTTTTGGATAAAGTGGTTCTACCGTTGCACTTGGAGGCGTATAAGCAAAACTTATGTTAACATTTATTAATAATGTTATAAAATAAAAGAATATCGAAGGATAATGATTAAAACTGACAAACATTTTGAACAATTATTATCTTACATACAATTATATACAATTATTTGAAATAATCGTTTAAAATAATAATAATAATAATAATAATAATAATAATAATAATAATAATATACCCTATAGAGAGAAGAAATTTGACTTCGTTACACGACTACACCACATCTCCAACTGAATCCGTAAGACTCTTATAATATTGTAATATTTAAAAATCATCCGACATATTTCTTATTTCCGAAGAATTCGTTATCACCATATTTTCCTGCTTTTGATTAAAAATTCTTAGTTTTCCTTCTTTTAGATAATCGCTAAGAAAGATTACATATATAAGTATACTTTCTGTAAATATTATTATATTAAAAGAAAAAAACAAACGATAGATATTTTTAAATTTCGATATATCGAAGAATACATTTATCGAGTAGTCGTATTACGATTGGTATTTGATCGACCAATCGTATTAGCGTCAGTTATACTAATCAACCAATCGTATAAGCGTCAGTTATACTCGTCGACCAATCGTATAAGCGTAAGTAATATTCTTTGACCAATGAGAAGTCAAATCTACTGACATGTCAAATGCATTTCAAACATATATTATTAACAGTGGTGTTACATCATCTATAATTGTGATCAATGACAAACCGTAACCGTATTGGAACTGAAAGGTTTAGTGCTTTGTTAATTTTTTCGTTTGTATCTCTTTCTCTTTGTCCATTGAACTTTGATTCTATGGAAGTTTAATTTAAGCGGGGCGGATAATGTTAAAAGTAATATATATCAGCTACGTCGAGATTTAGACGGGGAACGCCTAAAACCGAAAGAACATCACCCAAAAAATACAGAGATTCTCGATATTTCCTGGGTGACGCCGGAAGCCTTAAAGCCTAAGGGAGCATTGAAATCTCCAAAGGCACACAGGCATACGTGCGCGAACAAGGTAAGAATCCCATAATAAATAATCCGCAATAATTCCTATTTCAATTTTCATTATCTTGATTATTTTTTTTTTTTTCTTCAATCTTCTAAAATACTACTTTAAAGCGAATCGATGAATGTGCTTTTGTAACAAGTGTCTCCCCTCAAAGATCGTATTGCAGTAATATTCGATATTATCTCCCATTCCTAACCTCAATCCTTAGACTGCTTTTTCACTGAATGCCTTAGATAAATCACTAATTATAATAAAAGGGGAGGAATAAAGACACATAAAAAAAGAATAGACAAGTGAACAAAAAAAATCAATGATCGTGTAAATACATGTTCATTTGCATACTTGATCATGATTATTTTTTTTAATCCTATATATATATTGGTTTGAATAATTAATAAACTTTTTTTCCTTTTTATTTTTTTCTTTCTTTCTTTCTTTTATTATGTCATTATATGTGTTATATTTAACAAATTCATATTCATAGGTTATGTCAAAATATTTTTATGTACCCAATCAGTCATTTACTTTTAATATATTTAATAAATCACATTTATAGGTTATATTACAAATTGACATTGAAATTATAATACGTTTTATAAAAGAAAGTCTTATTACTGCAATCGATTGAAGATAATTGATAATTAATGATAAAATAATTATACATTTCCTTTGACAATCCTTTATCAAGTAATCATCTTAATAGCAACAATTGTATTCAATAATTAATAAACAATTATTTGATATAATATAAACCAGACAGTTGTGTATTACATATCGAATGAAATTTTGTTACAAATCATAAATAATCGCATAATAATAATAATAATAAATAATCAGTCTCAGTTATTATTTTATTTTATTTTTTTTATTTTTTTTTTTCATCTGCATCATTTCCTTCATTTTATTTCATGTTTCCTTAACACCTGCTCTCTGACCCACCAATCCCCTCCCCACCCACCCCCCATCCATCCATCTTTTTAAATGTCCTCTCTCCATAGGCCCAAAAAATATTCTTTCAGGTTGAAAGTTCGTTCGTATGTTCGTTCGTTCGTTCGTTCGTTCGTTCGTTCGTTATAGTTTCTAGTGCAGTAGAAAAACGGTTTGCGGTTTACCAGTCTTTCTTAATTTGTGTTGTGTTCAAGTTGAAAAAGTTTAAATATGAAATGGGGAAGAAAGAACCCTAGTAATCAAAAAAAGAAAGTAATAATGTATGAAAGTAAGAGGAGGAGGAGGAGAAGGAGGCGGCGGCAAAAAAAGAAAAGAGAAATAAAAACAGTATACCTTAAATGAAAAATGTGAAAGAAAAAGAAAAGAAAAAAGAAATATGAAAAAGTTCAGTTTAAGTATAAAGTTATAAAAATAATGTAATGTATATATATATAAAAAAAAAAAAAGTTCGTACACCACGTGATATAAAAAGTATGTTGTTGAACGCGTTATGGAATGCGCGCGCGTTGTGCCTTCAAGAGCGAGTACTACACGGGCTCTTTTTGACACAGGTAAGCTCATCGATGCCACAGAGGCAGATTTTTCAGTGCTACATTTGGCCCGTACGCCTATAAATTGACTTATCAAGTAAGAGGATGTCCTTATGTATTCAAATATCTATATATATATATATCTACACACTTTGTGATTCTACTTATTATCATTATTACTATTATTATTATTATTCTAAGTAAATTCTAACTATTCTTATATTTGCTATGTAATTGTCTTTTTTACAGGCTGGAAGATGTCTGACTCCGGTTCAGAGAGTTCATCATCGGAAGGTTACCCCGCTAGAAGAAAACAACTTAATCCTGGGGACGATGTGACTTCTACACGTTTTTCACAACGATCTCCTTCTCTCTCCGATAGGAAGTCCCCAACGAGTTCTATTTCTTCCAGAGGAAAATCACCGGGTTCTATTATGTCTGCTGATAGAAGATCTAAATCACCAAGATCAACACCGGCATCACCAAAATCACAAAGATCCGAATTGATGTCTCCTAGTGAAGATGGCTCTCCAAGATCTCCTAGATCACCTAGATCACCAAGATCTCCTAGATCGCCACGATCTCCTAGATCACCTAGATCACCTAGATCACCAAGATCACCTAGATCTGAATCCCCATTATCAAAGTCACCACCTGCTTCCCCAAAATCTTATCGGTCTGGCAATAATTCGATTGATTCACCACGTTCTGATCGTAGTTCATCAAGGTCACCTATTCAAGATGAAAGATCTTGTCTTTCAACGCCGAATGATTCTAAATCTTTACTTTATGGTGATTCTGAAGCAAAGTCATATGATTTTGATGGGGATACTCAAAAATCCAGAGACAATTCGCCAAAATCAATTTCTTATAGAAACAGCGAATCTAGACAGAGTTCACCTAAATCACCAAGATCAGGACGTAGTTCTGTCAAATCTCTTCTATCAGGAAGAAGTTCACCAAAATCTTATAAATCTGGTCAAGCGTCTCCCATTGATGATCGCGAATCTGAAAAACATTCGCCTGAACGATCTCCAGTTAATAAAAATAATTCTTTTAATGAATTAGATGGAGAACAGATATCGGATGGTGACATAGATGACGAACCAGAACCTGTTCCTAAATCAAAACCAGCTCAAATATCTCACGGAGAAGACTTGTCTGATGTATCTGATCTTGAAAGTATGGATGGTGCAGAAGGATCTATCGATCAGGAGAGAGATTCTATCAAAGAAAAAAGGGATGACGATGAACCCAGTACAAAGAACGATGATAAAATTGGACAAGAGGAAAAAACTGCTAGCGTTAACATAGAGGAAAGTGAACAACTTGATTTTGAAGCTGATGGTCAATGGAAAGATGAACGTGATGAAGGTACTGTTATCATTTTCATCCTGGGGGGGGGGGGGTGAATTAGGGGCCCAGTTTTGTTGCAGTTATGTATCATCTTAATTAATTATTTACTTAATAGGTGACGCAGACATTCCTGCAATTAAGGAACACAAAGATAAATTAGAGAAAGATGCTAAAGAAAAAGATAAAGAGAAAGATAAAGACAAGGATAAAGATAAAGACAAAGAAAAAGATAAAACGAAGGTAGCTGACAATGTAGGAGCGAATGATAAAGAAGAGGGTGAAGAAGATGGTGATAAAGAATCCGAATTGGAAGAAGGTGAACTTAGTGATGGAGATGATGCTAGACCTGAAGAAACAGAACCAAGACCTGTTTGTAGATTTTATAATCGTGGACAATGTACGTGGGGTGTTAGCTGTAGATTTTTACATCCCGGTGTAACCGACAAAGGTAATTACACAATGTTCGACATGGTACGACCAATGGCCTATCCTCCGCATGCTGCTGCACCCCACGAATATCGTGCACACATCGATAGACCAAGTATCGTTCGACCATTAACTGCTTATGGTGGTGCACCACCTCATGCACCAAAAGTAGAAGAACTGCCAACCGAGTCTGCCTGGGAACGAGGATTAAGACATGCCAAAGAAGTAAACATACAAACTTTCTAAACCGATATATCAACTATGCAACTAATAAACAAAATACTAACCTAATTTATATTATCTTTTCAGATGATGCGTAAAGCTAACAAACGCAAAGAATCCGATATGGATTTCGAAGAGAAAAAAATGAACTTAAGTTTAGGACAAGATGAGTTAGATCGTGAAGCAGGATATTATGTACGAGCTGCTAGCCCTGAACCACCTGTTGAAAGGTGGCCACCTAGGGAACCACCACCAAGAAGGATACCACCACCTAGAATCACACCTGAACGGTACATCGATGAGCCAGAAGCTTATTATCCACCTCCTGCAGCACCACCTGATTATTATCGGTAATAAATACAGCATTGATACTCACTTTCATTTCGGGCGCCGTATATATCCGGCATCAACTCGATGACTTGTTCTAACAATTCATATATTAACACTGTTTGTATTATTTCGAAGGAGAGTGCATTACAAATCAGATTCTCGAGCTTCCGGGGAATATCGGGAACGTCTCGAGTATCATGGAATTCCACGGGGTGCACCCCATTCCGTTTCACCACCACCCCATACCAGAGAACGCGAACGTGAAAGAGACAGAGAAAGGGAACGTGACAGGGAACGTGAGTATTACGAGAAGTATGAAAAGAAGCACAAACGACCATCTAGGGAGGTCATAGTTGAACGCATACCACCTACCAAAACTTGGCGTGAAGAGGAACCACCACCCATGGAAAGAGGTAGAGGTGATGAATGGGCAGATCCATGGATGCGTCGTAAATCACCAAGTACGGTGCGTCGCAATACGGCATCGTCCAGACGTTCAAGAAGACAATCCTATTCATCTGGATCATCGTATTCATCGACCAGGTAAGACTTAGTATTCAACGATGGTAATTATGACAAATATATATTTAATTATTAGTTTTTAGATAATTAGGGGATTCATTAACAGAGATAGGATCGAGTTGAATTCTTTTCGTTGGAATTAACTTGATATTATTATTTATCAAAACGATGGTTCATAGTTCATTAGAATCCTTAATATACTTCGTAGAATACACAATCGTGTTTTGTAGCTTGACCTCCATCTTTTTTGAATTTGGTATAAAAAAAGGTATAAGTAAAAAAGAAAATACTCGTAGAAAAATTTGCGTAGAAGAAACATAAAGAAAAAGAAGACCATCGTAATTACAAATTGAAATAAGAACGAGTAAGAGTATAATTTTTTTAGTTCTAGCCGTAGCTCGAGCCGATCTAGCTACAGTTCTTACGACTCCCTATCCAGGTCCCGTTCACCTACTCCTCCCTCTAGAACCCGCAGCAGTGGAAAAGGGAAAGCAACGGTCCCTTCACCACCTGCGAGCGCAGCAGCAGTTCCTTCTGGAGCACCACAGCGTGGTGCTATGCTAATGAACCCACCGGCTCCTTCTCCTCGTCCACCCAAAGGCTCCATCTCTCCTACTACGGGAACGTTACATCGACGTGCTGGTTTGAATCCACCTGCACCAAGTCCGTTGTCATCTCATCAACGACATCATGAAAAATCAAGGGACAAAGCAGCCATTGCTGCTGCTGCAGTGGCTAAGGTTATCAAAAGTAGATCTAGGTCTAGGTGAGGAACCCATTTCTATTTTATTTTCTCATGTTTATATTAATTTATTAATCCTTTGAGAGTGCAATAGATTGCATACAATGTCGGCCATATGTTAGGGGGACTAGAAAGTAATGTCGTTTCTACAAATGTCCAATTTTTTTATATTTTTATTAATTTGGTATTACAAATTTTGCATACTAGATGGAAAAAGATTGTTGATAACAAGGTTGAGATTATGTTATTGATTAAAATTAAGAATTTGTTAGAACAAAGTTTATTTGTTTGAATTTAAGGTTAGAAAGCGACATTACTTTTCTGTCCACCTAAAATACGTACATCTAGCAAGATCACATTGAAATCGTTGTATTTATGTTCATTCAAGAGATATATAAAAATCAATTTAATTTTTTATAAGTCAGAAAAGTTTTCAAGTTAAAATATGAAGTGTACTTAAGCAATATGGCCGCCACTGTATATGTTTTGTTAACAAGGATACAGAAAATACGCTCTAACTTAATTATATTTAAATTAATAAAGACTCGTATATGAATCTTTAGTAACTAAAGGGTTAAAAATTTGAGGGGAAAAACAAATTCATTCAAAACAATTAAATATGAATAATTGTATTTATTTTACAGATCTTCTCATAGTAGTTCCGGATCAGAAAGTAGCGGTAGCAGTAGCGATTCTAGCGAATCAAGTTACTCGTCGTCTTCCAGTGAAACACGTAAAAGAAAAGATTCAACACCACCATTGACACGCAAAGATTCCAAAGCGATAGACGCTTTGAAGCTTAGCGGTACAAAGCAACAAATAAAACTTACATTGAAACCGACAAGTAACATTTCAACGACCAAGAAGATAGATCGTTCGACAATAATGGCTGGAAAGAAGAGAAGTTTAGAATCTCCACCTTTAATTGACAGTAAAGCAAGTGTTGCTGCTGCTGCTGCCAAAGCTGCTAAAAAAGCAAGCTCACGTCGTGAAGAATTATTGAAACAACTGAAAGCTGTCGAAGATGCTATTGCACGGAAGAGGTCGAAAGTTTGAACTCTTACTTTATGGAATATAATTATTATTATTATATATATATATATATATATATAAAAGTTTAAGAGTTTAACAAAAAAGAAAGAAAACGAGAGAAAATCCCCAGGACGTGTTGTGTGACGCTGCTTCGTCGTTTTTCTTGCTTTATATTCATCACCATCATCATCATCATCATCATCATCGTCGGAAATCGTTTATATTATTAATACGATGTATTAAAAATTTGCATAAATAATAAGTAAAAAAAAAAAAAAAATAAAAAAAAAAAAGGTATTTCTTAGGATGATCGATGCATAATTAGCTGTAATAATAATTATTAATTATTAATAATAATAATAATAATAATATTTGAGAATTAAAAAAACAAATCCATTGGTGCGTGGATCAACGATTTTTGTCGTTTTTGTTTTTGTTTTCTCTTTCTTATTTCTATTTACAAACTTTTAATATCATTAAAATATTTTGCCAATTTTAATTTTTTTTCTTATTCAATCATTTTGTTTCTTTTCTCTGTCTCTCTCTCTCTCTCACACACTCTGTCTCTCTCTCTCTCTCTCTCCAAACCAATTTTCACATGATCGATCATCTTGTTTTTTTTTCTTTTTTGTACAATTTTATTAATGGTGGACCAGAAAGTAATGTCGCTTTCTAACCTCAAATTCAAATGAATACATTTTTAATCAATAACATAACCTCAACAACCTTTTTTTTCATCTAATATGCAAATTTTTAATACAAAACAGATTAAAATCAATTGAATTTGAATTAAAATAGAAAAATTGATATAGAAACGACATTACTTTCTGGTAAAGTTGGTGGAGGCTTTTTTTAAATCCTTGTACAATGTGTAAAAGCTCAAAGTAGTTATCATCATTATCATCATGAAACGAATGACCTTCAGTGAAGAAAGGAAGATTGATAAAGCAAGGTTTTTCTGTTTTTGAAATAAAAATATGAAAGCTGCTTGTGGTTTACTGTTAAAAGATAAAATAAGTAAATTATTTTTGTTTTTTCTTATTTTACGCAATAATTATTTAAACATTTTTCTTACATATATATAT